TATATTTAGCGGTTTAGGTAAAACCACTAACCGCTACTCCAAAACCACTATAACAAACGGGGCCTAAATATAACTAATAGATATTAGTTGATATCTAACTATTGATATTTATTTTTATTTGTTTGATTAGTTCAAATATTTTTTTTTAATCTGAGAATATTTTTGTGATTTAATGGTTATTTCTTTATTATACGTTAAAAAATATATATAATTTTTTTTCATCCAATTACAAATATGCTTATTCATCTTATTAGTTCAAAACATTAACCTCTAAACTCAAGCTTTTGTATTATATACCTCATTGAATATATGAATTAAAAAAAAGTAATGATATAATTACAATGTAATATAAAATTATAAAATTACAATTATATTAAATAAATATATATAATATTAAATATGAATTATAAATAAAAAATTAATTTTATAAGAACACTTTAAATTTATAAAATTATAATATTATGTGAAATTATTATTTTCCATTAAGAAAATTTCACTTGCTCAAAAACCACAAAAAAAATCTTCATAATTTGACAAATCGCTCCCAAGACCCAAAAGCCCAAATTATAAGAAAGCATGGGGCCATCTGGTATTCTCTAACTTCTTGGGCTAATGGCCATATGGACCTTCGCCCCAACAGCATAAAAATGGGCAACCCAAGTTAAAACCATTTTGCAAAATGGCTTCTACATGCACATATATATACAATAAACCCTAACTTTCTTTCACTAATCGCTAGCCCTCAGTTTTTCCCCCTGCCTCGTCCGCCTCCTCAGGAAAATGGGTCGTGTCATCCGAGCTCAGCGTAAGGGTGCCGGATCGGTATTCAAGGCGCACACCCACCACCGCAAGGGTCCGGCTCGCTTCCGCAGTCTCGATTTCGGCGAGCGGAATGGTTACCTTAAGGGTGTTGTCACCGAGATTATCCACGACCCTGGTCGTGGTGCTCCTCTAGCCCGTGTTGTTTTCCGCCACCCCTTCCGCTACAAGAAGCAGAAGGAGCTGTTTGTTGCTGCTGAGGGTATGTACACCGGCCAGTTCGTGTACTGTGGCAAGAAGGCTACTCTTGTGGTGGGAAACGTCTTGCCCCTCAGATCTATCCCTGAAGGTGCTGTTGTCTGCAACGTCGAGCATCATGTGGGTGACCGTGGTGTCCTTGCTAGGGCCTCCGGTGATTATGCTATTGTTATCAGCCACAACCCCGATAATGATACCACCAGGTCTCTGATTTGCTGACTGTTAACTCTGATTTTCTTTGATTTTTGATCTGTTAGCTTTACACCCATGATAATTGATTATGATTAATTGCCAATTTGCTTATTTCGGCTGTCATATGTGTTTTCTGTTTGCTGGATTTATATTCTGTTGCAACGATTTTAATGCTAATTAAGCATTTTACCATTGCCACTGTCATTTTTGCTTCTGCTTATAGTCATTGATTCAAGAAAAGGAGCATTCATATTTTATGAAATTGTTAATCAAAATGCTCGATCTTATTGGTAAGATGAAGATAAGTTGTTGCTCTCTTGTTTTTGCCGGGCTGACTTATCTCCACAATTCTGGGGTTTAATATTTGATTAATCCCTGATATAGGTAGATTTATATCAGTGGATTATTTAATTCCATTGGGCATTTTTAGTGACCTATTTGATGCATTGTTACAGGATCAAGCTTCCATCTGGTGCAAAGAAAATTGTTCCAAGTGGTTGCAGAGCAATGATTGGTCAGGTTGCAGGTGGAGGGAGGACTGAGAAACCTCTTCTTAAGGCTGGAAATGCTTATCACAAGTACAGAGTGAAGAGGAACTGCTGGCCTAAGGTGCGTGGTGTGGCAATGAATCCAGTTGAGCATCCTCATGGTGGGGGTAACCACCAGCATATTGGTCATGCCAGCACTGTCAGGCGTGATGCTCCTCCTGGCCAGAAGGTTGGTCTCATTGCTGCAAGGAGAACTGGTAGGCTCAGAGGACAAGCTGCTGCAACTGCTTCTAAGGCTGATAAGGCTTAGGCTTAAGTCATTACTTCTTTGTTTTTGTCATTTTACTCTTAGTAAGTCATTACTTCTTTGTTTTTGTCATTTTACTCTTAGTTTCATAACTAAGATTGTTATCTAGCACATTATGGTAGAATTTTTGTTCCATTTTAATTCTGAGATAGTTGTTTGTTCCTATGAATGGGTTTGGATTGTGGACAGATCTTTTTTGGAGTTCAATTCTATGTTTTGGAATGGGGTGATGTTATAGGGACAATATTTTTGTCTCATCTTTTTATATAACTTCTAAATGTTATTAAATAAGTTGATACATTCAATATCATAAATTTCACATGAATTAAAAAAATCAATCATTTTCTCATTTATATTAATTTGATTCTTTTAGTTTCCTGTCCTTTAATCTCTAAAAGTTAAATTATACTACTTTTAGAGGGTTTGATTCTTCTGAAGGCAGTGTTTTTGCGGTAAATGAAGAGGGGAAGTTGCATAGAATTGACGTTCTCCTTACTCTAATCATGTTGTGGATAATTGACCGAACTGGATCCTTTGCTTGGATCTCTCTCCATTTCTTCTTGAGGCCACACAAAATGCTCGTTTTCTGTCGTCGATACAGTCAGGGACGCCTGTTTAGCCCCAGAAAATGGTGGTTTTAATTTCTCACACGTCAATAGATGAGGAGCAGTTTCGTTTTACTTTTACCGGGTTAAAGCCAACTGTCATCCTTCTACTTTGTTAAAAAATTCAATTTAACCCTTCTACTATGAAATCACCTCAGGTCGTCCCTCTACTTCAGTTTGAGCTCACATGTCCTCCCTCTACTATTCAAAAAGTGATCAATTTCGTCCCTCCTTCCATTCCATGGCTAACACCGTCACTTTTTATAGCTAAAGCCTAACGGTTTGGCTAACACCGTCACTTTTCTCCAATTTTGTTTTTCTCTATTATTCTATATACCCTAACATCACGTACATCTACTCATCTATAATAAAAATGAAAGTTATGGTCTACAATCCTCACATGAAAGTTATACAATGTGGGCTTGGACCTCTTCCACATATATATGTGGGTCTGGACCTCTTGCTTTTCATTCCACATTTTTGTTAAAGGTCTAGTAGCCCATCTCTAATACATGGGTCGTTGGCCTGGTCATTAGATTTTATTTCCATCTACAGTTATTTCTTTCCACACATGTTACTGGATTTCCTTCTATTTATGCTGGATTTCCACATATTTTCTTTTTATTGATGCAACTCATACCAAACCCCCTCCCCAAAGAAAAAAAACATATATATGGGACAATTCTGAGATAATATTGTATTTTTTGTTATTTTAGTTAGGAGACCAGTTAATGTATCTTTTATTCTTCTTTCTAAATGCAGAAATGGTGAAGGGCAAGTTGTGTCAAGAAAATCTGAGACCTTTTACCCCCGATTGCTATACTATTTGTTTGTCCAAGCATTCGGATGGGAATATTAAACACGATTTGCCTTCTAATTCATGCATTTGCATGTACCACTGTGCCGAAACAGCCCCAGCAACTGAAGAGCTGGAACAAGTCTTTACCTAATATTGACATATATTAGGTCTATGTGATAATAGGTGTGACGAGAAATGCTGCAACCAACGTTGTACAGACAAACGATCTAATGGCCATGGAATTTGCAATGGAGCAGGAACAACATTGCAATGTCTTTGTGCATTTGATGGTTAGAAATATCTTCAATGATGTAATAAAGCACATTCGGTTCAAATAATAAAGACTTTTTATTTGCCATCATATAAAATATGACTGAGATTTTGTTTTCTTTTATATTAATTG